GAAAGAGGAGAGATCGCAGCGGGGAAGTTCCAGCAGCGCTACCTGGGGCACTCTGTGCTGGTGGCCAGTCCAGACCCTGACCGAGCAGCTGAACATCACATGCCAGAGCCCAACCCGGGGGGGATTAGTGGGGAACAAAGCCCTGGCAGGAACAGGGGCAGTCGTGCTGCTCTGGTGTCTCTTTCTGAGAGCAATGCCAGGGAGATGCCAGCTCGGATGAACGCGTTTTCCCGATGCCCCCGCTGCCATCTCCCGAGCAGCCTGGCCAAGCCCTCCCCCTGACTGCAGCAGGCTTTGGCTCAGGCCCTGGGTTGTCCTTGCAGAGCCCTGTGAGGGGGTGGCTCCCCTGGCAGCCCCGTTGCCACCCTGCAGGAGGCAGCTGCCAGCCCCCGAGGCGTGCCGGGGCTTTACCGTCCGGCGAGCTCCTGCGGCGAGCGCTTGGGTACCAAGGCCTTGTCCAGCTTGATCTCCACCACCAGGAAGGTTCCTGCTTCCACGTATTGCTGTGAAGATAAAGGTGGCTCTCTCAGCATCGTGCTGGCTAAACCTGTTACCGACAGGATGAAAGACTGAGTGCAGAGCTAGAGCTCTGCAGCGAATCCTCTTCCAACTGCAGAGGTACAACCTGCTCTCTCCGAAGGATCTACAGCAGAATTCAGCTGAAGAAACCAGGCTAGGAAAAAACCCAGAGAATCAATCTGCTTGCAGAAGGAATCTGCGTTCAAGATGCTTTGAGGAAGAAGCCAAAACACAAAATAATCCTTTGAAATAAAGGCCTGATTATTTAGAGAGACCTTCCCACAGCCCAATGCCCTCCGGCTGGACGTCACTGGAAGAACTCCAGGACAATATCTACGTAAAACAACCCTCGTCCAGCTCACTCTGGAAGGATTTAATTGCGTGCAAGGTGCGAGACGCTGGGGCAGTGCTGGTCTAGCAGCTTCTCCTGCTCTTTAGAGATCCATAATTACCTGTCCATCAAGGCTGAGAGTTGTGGCGTTTTCAGCTTCTACGGTGGCATCCGACGGCTGGAGTTTGGTGGTGATGGACATCTATTGAAGGAAAAAGAAATGGTGTCTCCTGTTAGAGCTTCAATAAGCCTCACACCTTCTCAAGTTCAGGATGAGAGCTGTACAGTTGTTCAGGATGGAACAAAATGTCAAGGTAATGAGAAAGTCCAAGTTGGTGCAGCATCAGTCCCTGGTTTCTGCGTGCCCCAGCTAACTCTGAGGTGGAAATGGAGCAACTGTGCCCCAACGTGCCCCTCTAGACCTTACCATTCGGTTGGAATCCTTGTCTTTGGTGGCTTTGTCTTCCTTCTGAGCCTTGGGGGGAGCAGCTCTGGGAGCACTGACTCCTGAAGCCCACGACCCTCTCTTAGTCAGACCGAGCTGCGTCCCCAGATCCCGGAAAACACTGCGCTGACTTTTGGTCTGAAAAGAGAGGCAACAGAAGGAATCAAGGGACACTCTAGGCTTCCCCAACCCTTTGCCTTAACCCCTCGCACAGCAAAACACATTGTCAGGGTCCTAAATGCATTTAGCAGCTCTGCAACGCTGCCCTCCTCTCCTGTTTTAGCTGCTGGTGCTCCAGGGCAGCTCTGGAACCTCAGGTTAGACAGTGAAATGAGTTGTCTGAGAAAGCCTCAAATGTGGCTCCCTGTCTTCTCTCAAGAGCTGCATCTCAACCCTTGATTCTTGCCTGGGCTATGGAGTAGATATGTTGGAGCCCAGCCCCGTGCTGCCCTGATCCTGACCCACTGGCCTCAATTCCTGGCTCATTGCTCTAGAGCTGCTGGTGATTTGGGCTGTTAGATGAACCTGGCTGCCCCCCACCGGGTCTGCTCTGCACTCTCAGCCCCCAGCCCACCTCCTGCTGTGGAGCTCACTGCAGTGAATTGCAAGGAACAGGGCTTTTTTTTTTTCAAATTATCTACTTGACCACCCAGACAGGCAGTTCCCTCCCAGTCATCACCATTATAGGGGCTTGTAAGACCCTGGGGAGGGGATGAAGCAGCTGTACTGACACCACTTAGACCAAGGAGCAGCCACAAAACCAGAGAATGAGAACATGTCCCAGAGAAATGCTGCAGGTCGAGGAGCACCGTGCAGCCACGAGGCCATTAACCAGGGTGGCAAAGGTGAGCAGGGACCAGAGGTGTGCCCAGCCCTGCTTCCAACAGCCAGCAGGAGCAGGGGGGGCAGGAGGAGGGCTCTGATTCACCCAGCTCCCGTGGCCTGGCACGACAGGAGCCGTGGGCAGAGAAAGCAGGCTGGGCATCTGCCCTCCTGAAACCAGCTCAGGTCTGTTCCAGGAGTGCTGTGGGAAAACAGAGTTGTGACCATCACTCTTAGGAACAGAGAGGGGGGAGAAAAGCAAAAGACAAATAAACCTCCGTGAGCTGAAAGAGCTCCAGTGACAGCTTTTTTTGGTGGTTGCCTGGGGTAACGCCATCCTTTCAGAGCCACTGTTTGCTCTTCCCAGCAACGTTTGCCCATGTTCCAGACTGGGGAGAGAGAGAGGAGTGTTCTTACAGCTCTCTCCCTGCCCAGCTGCTGGCAGAGAAGGGAGCAGAGGAAGATTCAGAGCCCCTCTCAGCCCTGGAACCCAGAAACCTTCGAGAAGTCTCCACCTCAAAGCTCCTCTGATTTTTTTTTCCCCCTCCATCCCCAGGAGGGCAGTGAAATTTCAGAGCCAGCCTCTGAGCAGCACGCTGCCCGTGGTGCCCACTCCCAAACCTGGGCAAAGAGGGTTGGAGTGGAGCTCTCTGCTCTGCTCTCACCTTCTCGAGCACCTCTTTGTCTTGGTAGCTAAAGACAGGGAAAGCCCCTCGGATCTGCTTCACACCAGGGCACAGCAAAGGCACCACGTTGACATAGGCCACGCCGTGGAAGGAAATCTGCTTCTCCTCATCTCCCTGGAAACACAGAGCAAAGGGACTGAGCCACTGAACAGCCTGTTGCTCTTTGAGGAAACGAGGTCACGGGTCCCATTAAGAAGAGGCCACACCACAAAGGGATGGACACGATTGAGCCAGTGGCTCCCACTGGCACAGAGCCCAGACAACCTGGCTGAAAACACTGGGAGCCATTGGATAGAGGGAATAGCAATTGGGCTGCAGTCCTTGCAGGGCAGCTTCTCTCCCCCGTGCCCACGACTGTGCTGTTCCTCTTTGGGAGATAGAGCTGCAGAATTACCCACTGGGGGGTTAGAAATCTGAGTGATGCCATCAGAGCATGGTCAGGTTTGAAAGCAGGTCCCTAAGGAGGTTTGAGAACACAGGCTGGTGGCAGACTGCTGAGAGGAAAGGAGAAGGAGCTGCAAAACCCTGGCACCAGTGAGTGCTGAAAGGGATTTCTACCAAGTTATAGGAAGGCTCCAAGGAGACCTTGTGGCCCTCCAGGATTTCAAGGGGCTTGTCAGAAAGCTGGGGGGGGCTTTTGAGCAGGGGCTGTTGGGACAGGACAAGGGGGGATGGTTTGAAACTCAAAGAGGGAGATGTAGACTAGAGAGAAGGAAAAATTTTCTACACTGAGGGTGCTGAGCCCCTGGCCCAGGCTGCCCAGAGAGGTGGTAGATGGATCCCTGGAGCCATTCCAGGGGAGGCTGAGCAGGGCTCTGAGCACCCTGCTCTAGTTGGGGATGTCCCTGCTCCCTGCAGGGGGGTGGGACTGGATGAGCTTGAAAGGTCCCTTCCAACCCAAACAAATCCAATTCTATGACTTTGCCCTGGAACAGATTAGGAGCTCTCACACGACCAGCCTCCAGGAACAGACCCATTAGCCAAGGGGCTGATTCTCTGTTCAATCACCCCAGGTTATGTGCAAGAGCAGAACTTATTTACAGCCTGAGAAAGGAGGCCTGAATTTCTTCCAGATGTTCCAAAACCCCTTTGGCCAAAGATAAGCTCAATGAATTACCTTAATTCTTAAAAAGAATCCTCTCCCAACCCCTTCCCACCAAGCTACTGCAGAGGGTCAGTGTGAGCTCTGTAGGCAGAAGGAAAACCAAGACTGATTGATTGATAAGATTGATTAAAACCCCTTGGATTAATCCCTTTAGAAAGCCCCTCGTTCTCTCGACTTGCTTTAGGTGGTTCAAGGCTGGGTTTGGCATCACAAAGGCAATGAAAGGAAAATGCTCAGTAACACAACATCTCTCTCTCCCCACTCCTACCTTATCAGCTTTGCTGGTTTTCCCTTTGCTGGGTGCAGCCACAGCCACCCTGCAGACCTCCAGGGGCCAGTAGTGGCAGGTGGAGATGCACTTCTGCAGGCTAAACACGAAAGAAGGGCCCTGAGAAGAGGCAGAAACCAAGCTGCAGAGCCACCCTGCCAGCCTCCTTCCCCCCCAAAACATCCCCCCTGGGTTTGCCCTGACCCAGTCCCCCCCAGCAAGCACCCTCAGACCACAGGAACACGTGTGCTTGGGGACAGGCTCAGTACATTTTCTTCTCCATCCACTGCTCTGTGTGTGTTTATGGCACAACCAGCTCTAAAACAATTGTGAGAACAACACACTAGATTTCTCTTTCTCCCCTGGCTACTTCAGAAATGAAACGAATCACAAGGAATGTGATTGTCTTTGGTATAAAACCTGAATTGCACAGAGAAATTGGGACCCTGAGCTCTCATTCAATGTGCCTGGTAACTCTGAAACCAGCAGGCAGGTTGATGAAAGTGTAAAGGGAGAGGAAAAAAATAAAACAATTAAACCCCAAACCAAATAGAAGGGAGAATTTCCACACAGGAGGAGTGATTTGGCTGTGAAACTCCCAGTTGTGATGCAGCTGAGGCCAAGAACATGGCAGGATTCAAAGAAAGGGGATACTCATCCTGATCTTGAGTATGTTAGGAAGAAGTTCTTCAGTATGAGGGTGACAGATTCACTGGAATAGTTTTCCCAGAGAGTTGGTGGAGGCCCCATCCCTGGAGACGTTCAAGGTCAGGCTTGACAAGGCTCTGAGCAGCCTGACCTAGTTGGAGATGTCCCTGCTTACAGCAGGGGGGGTTGGACTAGGTGACCTTTGGAGGTCTAACCCAAACATTCTATGATTCTATCTCTCTGCTGCCCTTTCCTTCAAACAGGGAAGAGCCCCAGCCCCTGTTGCTGGCAGCCTGAGCAAGTGTTTACACCCTCTTTGGCCATCAGACAGCCACAGGATGAGGCAGAGCCACGTTTTGGCCCCCCTGAGAGGTCTGAGAGCACCTGCATTTGCCATTCCCTGCCTCAGGTCACTCAGCTGAGCGTGCTCTGGGTGGTTTCTCCCCCCAGCACTCCACACTGGCAGGATCTCAGGTCCCTTACGTGAGCACTGCAGCAGGATCCAGGTACCGGCGCCTCTCCACGTCCCACACGATTCTCCTCCTGCCTTCTGCTTGGATCCTAAATTCCCTGTCCTGGGAGAAACAGCAAGAGGTCAGAGGCAGGACAGCAATCTCCTCAACCTGCACCATCCTCCAGAACATTCCCTGGAGGAGAAGTCAGAGAGAAGTGCCCAGCTTGCCTTCCCCACACCATCCTAGCAGGGTACCCCCTGCAGACACCACAGCCTGGGAGGATGAAAAGCCTGGCTCCCAAGGAGACAACTCCCAGCCCAGCAGCTCAGGGAGCAGGCAACTGAAGCTGTGGCCCAGATGAGCCAGCAGCACCCCAGGGAACTCTCCTGCAGAGCCACCATCCCAGAGGGACCACCTCTGAGTCTGGACCAACCCCCCACCTTCCACCCTAAGGAGTCTCTGCAAGCCTCAGTCCCTTCAGGGAGAGCTGCTGGTCCTCTCCCAGCCACACCACTGCCCGTCCTTCCTCACCTCTCTTTTGTTGAGCTCTCCATCCTCATCCTCATAGGGACCACCGGTGATGAAGGAGTTGGGTATGCTCAGAGCACCAGGGGCCACGAGGTCACCAAGGGGCCAGTTTTTGGGCCGAGGTAAGGGCTCTTTTTCACCAGCAAGCTTCAGGATGCCATTCGTGAAGAGCAAGGGGAATTCCTCCTGGAGAACCAGGAGAATGAAAGGACTTTGTTTCTCCAACATGAGCAGGAGGTTGGAGCCAGGTAGGGGTCGGGCTCTTCTCCCAAGGAACAAGCCATAGGATGAGAGGAGATGGTCTCAAGTTGTGCCAGGGGAGGTTTAAGTTGGATATTAGGAAAAATGTCTTCCCTGAAAAGGTTGTCCAGGCTGCCCAGGGCAGTGGTGGAGTCCCCACCCCTGGAGGGGTTTCCAAGCTGTGGAGATGTGGTGTGAGGGACAGGGGGCAGTGGGGACCTGGCAGGGCTGGGGGAAGGGTTGGACTCTATGATCTTAAAGGTGTCTTCCAAACAAAAGGACTCGATGATTCTAAAAGCTGCTGTAGACCCCATGGGCCTGGACACTTGTTCCAGGGTGCTGACCATGGGAGAACAATCCACTCTGTAGCAGCCAAAATCCCCCTCCCTGCACCCAGCCCACTTCTCACCTCCCCAGGGGCTGGAACTTGCAAGCAGGCCATGTAGTTCTGCAGGGCTGCAGAGGGAGGAAATGCTTCTGGGACAGAATAAGCTGCCTCCAGGGTGACAGTCAGGAGGTTACCCTTGGAAAGCTCTGCTGGGGAAAGCAGAGGCTCTTCGGTGCACACTGTCACCTCAAGGGCACCCTGGGAGACAAGGATAAAGGACAGCAAGTAACTAGAACATGATAAGAGCTGGAGTTTTGTGTCCAGTTCCAGGCTCTCCAGTTCAAGAGAGACAAGGAGCTACTGGAGAGAGGCCAGTGGAGGCTACAGAGATGCTGAGGGGCTGGAGCATCTCCGTGCCAGGCCCGGCTGAGAGCCCTGGGGCTGTGCAGCTGGAGAGGAGAAGCCTCAGAGGGGATCTGAGCAGTGCTGAGCAAGAGCTAAAGGGCCCCGGGGGGCAAGAGGCTGGGGCCAGACTCTGCTCAGTGGTGCCCAGGGACAGGACAAGGGGCAACGGGCACCAACTGGAACCCAGGAGGTGCCACCTGAGCAGGAGGAGAAACTTCTTTGGGGTGAGGGTGCAGAGCCTGGAGCAGCTGCCCAGAGAGGCTGTGGAGTCTCCTGCTCTGGAGAGATCCCAAACCCTCCTGGCTGTGACCCTGGGCACCCTGCTGTGGGTGAGCTGCTGGAGCAAAGGGTTGGAGGAGATGATCTCCATAGGTCCCTCCCAACCCCACCACTGTGCTGGGGTTCTGTGCTAACTCTCCTGGCTCTTAAGGGAGAAGCAGAAACCCAAGGGCAAAATGTATAACAGCATCTTCTTCCTCACCTCAGATGTAAAAGAAAACAGAGCACCACAGGAAAGGAATTTCATGATCAATTTGTCTGAATTGTGGTATTTGCTGCATTTGGAGCCTGCTTGAGTCATGGCACATGCCCCAAGGATCTCATAAACCAAGCCATGGAGAAGCAGCCAGGGTCTCATAAAACCAACCACAGAGAAAGAATATAGTAGGGATGGAAAATAATTCTTTTCCTGGAGCTATTTTGGGCACACCAAACTAGGGCCAGGCTCTGCCTCTGCTCTACCTCCACACTTTCTGTGCTGTCTTTAATTTCTGGTCAGCATTTATCATCTGTCCCCCCCCTGAGGAGCTCCCCCCCTGCCTTGCTTACGATGGAACACCTCTTAAATACAGAGAAGCTCATGCAACAGCCACCCCTCCAACTCATTCACAGCAAGAACCCACAGGCAAATCCAGGAGCCAAATTAGACACGTTTTCCCACTCTCATTCTTCCCTCCCTGCTTTATTCACTTTTCAAGCACTAAATGAATCAGGACCTTGTAGGAGAGGCAGTCAGAGCTGGCACTATAATGGACTCTGAGACATTTTATCCACAGAAATGAAGATGAATAAAGCCAGGCAGGTAATCCTGCCTGTTTGGGTTTTTTTTTTACCCCTGTTTTTCAGCACTGGGCTTTCCACCTAGGATATATTTTTTTTCCCCAGCAATTCAGTAGCTCAGTAGCTGCCCACATTAAGAGTTCCTAGCATGACCTCACCCATCACAGGCAACCAGGGACAGACGTCAATGGGAGCAGGAAAAGCCTCCAAGCTTGTAACATATAGAGCAGTAACAACACCTCGGTGATGAGTGAGGTGGCTGAGTCATGCTCACTTTCCTCTTCAAGAGCAGTGGAGAGCTGAAGGAGCCAAGGAACACTTCCAAATTCCACATACCTGGGCCTCCAGGTGAAGGCTCTCTGATGGGAAGGTAGGCACTGCATACAGAGGAGCCAAGACTTTAAATGAAGACTGCCCTGGGAAGAAACAGGAATGAGAAGAGCAGAAAGTGAGACCCTCTGTAGAGAAATTGTGGCCTCACTCAAAACACTGAGCTACTGAGCCCTTCCCCCAGCCCCAGCTTTCTTCTACAGATGTTTCTTCTACAGTAAGTTGTCATCAGGGGTCCATCAGCAAAGGTCAAAACGTGCCAGGGAGCAAGAGGTGGAGTAAGTCAGGGAGCAAGAAGGGGTTATAGGGGCCATGAAAGTTGATGTCATACCTTGCAACAGAGGTAGAAGGTCCACCACAGCTTGGCCAAGAGGCAGAGTCTTCTCCTTCTGCCTCTTGTCCTTTGGCAACACTTCTATCACTGTCACTAGAGAGATGAAGAGAGAGGAGCTGGCAGAGTTTCAGGCAGCAGTTCAGGGGCTGCAAAGGGTCTGTGTCTGGCACATGCTCCTAACTTCACCTCCCATGACCAACAAGCACAGTGGAGCCAAGAAGCACAGGCCAACACCAAAGAGGACTCTTCATGCTGCCAGAGGTGGACACAGCAGTGCTGAGACCCCCCCAAATGCTACCAAAGGGCTGTTGTTCTTGAAGGAGCAACCCCTGCTGGCAGCACCCACCTCCAGGGAGGGAAATTTGGCCCCAGCTACTCACAGAGCAGAGGGTTTTGCACAACATCATCCAAGGAGATGGGCCCATCAGGGCTGCACTCGAAGCTGGTCATGAAATGGTAGTTGGCTGTCCCATCTGGCAAGACATCAGCCGTGGAGGAGTCTCCCAGGATGGCTCCCTTGTGCTCCACACGCACCAAGGTGACTGACAGGTCACTTTTGAGAGTCTTCTGCCAAACAAACAGCACACGAAGCAGTTGGCTCGGCAGCACCAGGCCCAGGATCAAAGCTGCCTCTGGATGGGCTTCACTGGTGGGGATCTTGGGCTGCTCCACAACAGGAATGGGGAAGAGGAGCAGAATTTGGCCATGTTGAGACCTCGCCCTTCCCTGCCTTTAGGGGGGAGAGTTCCTCCTCCACCACATCACTGGGTGCCCCAAGGACTATCAAGAACTGCAGCAGAGGGGATGGAGAAGTTTGGGCTTCACCCCAGGAAAGGCAACAAAAGGCATCTAAAGCAAATCCCAAATGACCCCACTGATATTTTTTGGGCTTCCAGCAAGCTTGAGGCTTTTCTCACCCCCTAAAAAGCAGCTCCTAGAGCTGCATGGATGAGCTCTCAGGACACTTGTGTCCATCACAGGCTTGCAGAATGCCCTGGCATCAAAGAAGAGCTCCAGGAAGCTCTTTGAGGAGCTCTCCAATTTGGTGTTACCTCACTTTGCTTTAAGGAGCCATGAGGAGGTTCAAGTTTTAAACTACTTTTTAATTTCATTTTTTTTATTTCAATTTGAAACATCATTTTAAATTACTTTTTAATTTCATTTTTTTTATTTCATTGAATTTAAATTTTTCACTTTCCTTTGTAATTTAAATTGAAATTTTGAAGCAGAAGGGCTTGAACACAGACAAGCAGGGATGGCAAGAGCAGAGGACAGGGCAGTAGGGATTGTCTTTAGTCCTGGGGATGCTTCACCTCTCCCCATGCCCCTGGGGTGATTTGTTCCATCTTGGCTCTTGCAGAGGGAGATTTCATGCACTTGGTTTTCATTTTGAGTCCTTCTTGTCTGGCTCTTTGAGCAGAATATATTCTCTGAATGGCTAAACAGAAGAATCCAATTAACCTTTCTGTGTACCACTAATTAGCCGAGGCTGCTCTCTCATCCTTTCTCTACATTCCTTCTCATTAAGCAGATTCCACACCTCTTACAGCTGGATTTGTTTTTATATATCGTTGTTATCATGACACTCTTTGCAACCTTCCCTCCTTTTGCCAAAGCTTTTTTGCTAAGATGGAACCATCAAAACCACAAAGCAACATTCCAGAACATTGTTTGCCCTCCTCTTACACCTCTCTCCTAAGATGCTGTTTGCTGAATTTTTTTGGTGTGAGAGGACCTCAAATACTACCACATAAAAACCTCAGGAAAAAAACCCCAGGCAGGTGCTTTTTGTTTGCTATTTTTTTTTTGGGTGGGGGTTCTGCTGCTAGAGCAGAAACAGGGATCTGCATTTTCCTCCTTGCAGCAGTAGCTGAGCTTCTCCTCTGCATTCCTTCCTAAATGCCAGTTCCTCTAGGAGATTTTAAGATGTCTCAGGCAGCACATGGAAATCACAGCAGTCAGGGTTTGACCACAACCAGCTCATAGCCTTGCCCTGCAGCCCCTGCTTTGTTAAAACTAGAGCCACTCCCTTGGGTTCCACAGAATTCTAACCCCTGAAAATCTGATTTTATCACCAAGGTGAGATCTTTTTTGAGGGATTTGTCTCATTTTTTTGCTTAAAAACCTGCTAAGTGGCATATAGTGGGGGCAGAGAGATACTTGCCAACACAGCACCACAAAAGGAGACCTTGTTGTGGCCTCTTAGTAATTAAAAGGCCCTAGAAGAACAATAGGCATAGAGACTTTTTAGCAAGGTCTTTTGCAACAGGATAAAGGGCTATAGGTTTAAACTTAAAAGAGGGAGATTCAGACTAGAGAGAAGGGAGAAATGTTTGACACTGAGGGTGGTGAGCCCCTGGCCCAGGCTGCCCAGAGAGGTGGTCGCTGCCCCATCCCTGGAACCATTCCAGGGGCTCTGAGCAACCTGCTCTAGTTGGACTAGATGAGCTTTAAAGGTCCCTTTCCACCCAAATTATTGTATGATTTTACAATTCCATGACCACAAAGGTGCCTTCCCCAACCTACATGAATCGCTAGCCCTCAGCAGGGAGGAGGTAGCCACAGCAGGCAAGGCTGAAACCCCAGTATCCTCACCATTCTTTCTGACACACCTGCTCTGGAACAGGCTCACATCCCACAGAACCACTCTGACCTCCCTTATTAAACCCTCAGAGACATTTTTAGGAGAACTTTACCAGTTCCTGTGCCTTCAGCACCGTGATCCGTACTGGTGTTACTGGTTGTGACTTGCTGGGAAGAGCAGGGGGCAAAGCAGAGGATTCTTTTCCAGCAGGGTCCTCCATGGTTCTGTGGGGAAGAGGAAAACGGAGCTGGGAGAAATATAACGTGGGAATTAGCTGGGAATTGATCCCCCCCATGCAGCTCTCAGCTCCTCCAGGTGCCTGTTAAGGGTTGAATGGAACAGCTCGATGGGCTCTGCCCCCGCTTCAGGCCTCGGGGTGCGGCCTGCAGCCCCTCACCGCACCAGGGGTG